TTCTTCTTCTTCTTCTTCTTCTTCTTCTTCTTCTTCTTCTTCTTCTTCTTCTTCTTCTTCTTCTTCTTCCTTCTCTTCCTCCTTCCTCCTCCTCACGCCAGAAACCTTTCTTCTCCTTCTTTTTCTCCTTGCTCCTCCTCCTCTTCTTCTTCCTCCTCCTCTTCCTCCCCATGCCAACTCTTCTTCTCCTTCTTCTTCTTCTTCTTCTTCTTCCTCCTCCTCCTCCTCCTATCTTCCTCCTCCTGCACGGACCCCGATTCCCGACTAAGCCTCGCTGCAAATAAAGCATTGCGTTTCCACCACTTTTTGCAAGGCTGAGATTTGAACGGGGGAAGGAAGGGGGCTGCTCATTCACATTTACCCAGCCCCTTCAAGACTAGCCGCAGCGGGCCTTTTCAGCCAACTCCTCCTCCTCTTCCTCCTCCTCTCCAAGTCCTCAGCTGCCCTCTCTCCCGCCTCCCCCCGCCCCCACCGCCGCCATGCGGACAATAGCGGGGTCGCGGCCCCTTTAAATCGCAGCTCCCTCCTAACCTCCCCCCCCTCCCTCCCCCCCGTCTTGTTTATACCGCGGTGCCACCGAACTTGAGCCCGTCTCCCCTTCTCCCTCCACCCCTACCCCCGTCCTCCCGCCGCGCCGGCCACACCCCCGCTCTGCTCCCATTGGCTGAGCTGCGGCGGGCGGGCGCGGCCATTGGCCCGTCCGCCGCAGGCAAGTTCGGCGGCGCTCGGAGGCGAGTCAGCTGACCTTCCCCGCTCCGGCCACTCCCCCTCGGAGTTGCTCCGGCGGAGGCTGCGCTCGCCGCCGCCGCTGCTGCTGCTGCTGCTCGTTTGGTGTGTCCGTGTCCGGTCGGGGTCCAGCGGCGCCTCCGGGGATGGCGGGCGAAGGCGGCGGCGGTGGCGGCGCCTGGTTGGTGCTCTTCTGCGGCTGGGCGGCCGCGGCGGGCGCCCTTCGAGACGGCGCGCCGCCCGATCCTGAGCCCGGCGGGGATCCCTGCCCGCCCGCCTGCCCGCGAGTGCTGGGCTTCCGCCTGGAGGACGGCGCCGCGGCCACGGGGGGCCTGGTGCGGGCCCTGCCGGGGGCCACCTTCCGCCTGCGCCTCTACGGCACCGGGCTGCACAACCGCAGCTGGCCCTGGGCCGCCTTCGTGCCGGAGGAGGCGCCCTGCGGGGGGAACCCGGGCGAAGAGCCTTCCTCCTTCTCCTCCTCCTCTTCCTCCTCCTCGGGGGCCCCTCAGGTGCTGGCCCACCACGTCCTGCCCGCCAGCGAGCATGCAGGGCTGGTGACGGTGCGAGTGGCCCCCGGGGCCCCCGGAGGACGGTACCGCCTCTGCAGCCCATCGGGGCCCGGCCGCCCCTGGGCCCCGGCTGCCCCGGGCGATGCCATCCTGGTGACGGAGGACGAAGGCGGAGGGGCCCGGGTGGCGGCCGAGGCGTGGCCCCCACCCATGCCCCCCTGGCTGCTGGGCACCCTAGTGGCCCTCTTGCTGGCCCTGCTGGCCCTGCTGCGCACCTTGCAGCTCAGCACCCTGTGGCTGGATCCGGCCGAGCTCTACGTGCTGCGGGACTGTGGCTCAGAGGCAGAGCGGGGCGCCTCTAAGGCGCTGGAGCCCGTCCGGCACCGGGGGCCCTTCGTCCTGTGCGCGCTGCTGCTGGTGAGCGCCGTGGCGCAGGCCGCCCTGGCTGTGCTCTTCTATCGGGCCGTGGGGGCGCTGGTCCCGGCTATCCTCGGCGTGGCCGCCTTGTCCTTCCTGCTAGCCGAGGTGCTGCCCTTCGCCGCCAGTTCCCGCTGGGGTCTGTGGCTGGCCCCGCGGGGCCTGTGGCTGACCCAGTTCTTCATGCTGCTGACGTTCCCCGTGGCGCTGCCGCTGAGTCGGGTGCTGGAGCTGGCCCTGCGGCATGACAACAGCACCTACCTCTTGCGGGAGAAGATCCTGGACATGGTGCGCAACAGCGACCCTTACAACGAGTTTGTGCGGGAGGAGTTCAGCAAGGGGGCCCTGCGGAACAAGACGGTGGAGGACGTGCTGACCCCGTTGGATGAGTGCTTCATGCTGAACGCCGATGCCGTGCTGGACTTCAACAACATGTCCACCATCATGCAGAGCGGCTACACCCGCATCCCAGTGTATGAGGATGAGCGGACCAACTTGGTGGACATGCTCTACGTCAAGGACCTGGCCTTGGTGGACCCCGACGACTGCACTCCCCTGAGCACCATCATCAAGTTCTACAATCACCCGCTTCACTTTGTCTTCAATGACACCAAGCTGGATGCCGTGTTGGAGGAGTTCAAGAGAGGTAAATATGCGTCTTTTATATTGTCACAGCAGACACTGGGCATGTAATAAGTAGGTTGTTGTTTGTCCTGTTTTTTTTTTTTAAACAACAACAACGTCGGGAATGATACCAATGTCTGAATCCTGGTGCGCATCTGGCTATATAAGAGACGGTTGGTTTTCAAACTATTCTGAAAGTTTCTTTCGAAGCTTTTCCAGCAAGATGATCATGGATGATGACCAAACATCCCCAGAAAACATCTGTAGTGGATGGTAGAGGTAGGATAGGATAGCATAGCATAGCAGGAACCATAGGATAGGATAGGGAATAGGATTGAGAATAGAATAGAAGGGAATAGAATTGAATAGAATAGAACATTGGAATGAAGAATAGAATAGAATAGAACAGAATAGAATTCTTTATTGGCCAAGTGTGATTAGACACACAAGGAATTTGTCTTGGTGCAAATGCTCTCAGTGTACATAAAAGATACATTTGTCAAGAGTCAAGAATCATACGGTGCAACACTTAATGATAGTCATAGAGTACAATAAGCAATCAAATCATATTAAGAAACAGTCAATATAAATAGCAAGGATGGTTGTCACAAAGGTGCTTTTTCAAGAAGTAACTGGACTTTCTGGTTTTTCTTTTGAAGACCTTTCGCTTCTCCTCCAAGAAGCTTCTTCAGCTCTGACTGAACATCCCACCATCCAGTCAGAGCTGAAGAAGCTTCTTGGATGAGAAGCGAAACGTCTTCAAAAGAAAAGCCCAGAAAGTCCCAGTTGCCTCTTGAAAAAAAAAATCACTTTTGGGGTCCCCGGAAGACAGCTTTCATAAATAGTTTGCTTATTGCCACTGATTTTTTTCCCCTCCACTCACAGAATGTGGTTGAACTTCTGCCTGTTTGGAATCCTTTTGGTAAGATCCTGCAAAGTTTGTTCACGCCTGCGTTTGTCGCGTACATGTCTCGTTCTCACAGTTCAATATTGCCTGCATGATATTTTCTTTGCACAGCCAATCATTTCATTCTCAGAATAGCCCTGTTGAGGTTGTGCTTACAGTTCGTGTCTGACCCAGAGTTACCCAGTGAACTTCAGTAGAGAGTTGGGGTTTGAATGGACATCTCTCTTGTCCCAGTTCAGCATTCAATTGCTCACATTTTCTGTTTTGAGCACATTCTCTTGAGGGTTTTTTTTTAACAGCAGTCTGCGATTCCATATTGAAAACAACTAATCAAGGCAATTTTTTCCTGAAGTAGTGAAAGTTACTGTTGCCTTGTCCTCTTAAAAAGAAGAGAATCATTTGAATTTCCTAGAACAAACCAAAAGTGTGCAAAAGATGATCCAGGATTTTGACTTCTCTAGAACTGTTAATGGGGGTGTGTGGGTGGGGGGGGGAGAGCAAGAATTGCTGATCATAATTTTGAAATTGTCTTCCTTCTTCCCCGTTCCCCCACTGTTTGTAGCATCCTGTCTCATGAACTAGACTCTTACCCTGTTTTAAAGTGGTCCAGGGGTGGTATTACCTGGGGTGTTTTGAAGTTAGAAAATTTGCAAGGATGTATTGTTGGTTTGTTTCATTTAAAGGGATTTAGCAGTACACTTGATGAATCAGTTTTGCACTACTTTGAAAGACATTTCCAAAGTTGTCTTGTATAGCAATAGCACTTAGACTTATATACCGCTTTACAGTGCTTTTCAGCCCCTCTCTAAGCAGTTTACAGAGTCAGCCACCGAGGGAGGGAGGAAGGAAGAAAAATGGCAATAGCACTTAGACTTATATAC